ATTAGCGTCTAGTATTTTAGGCTAACGGTCTAAAATGCTTTGAATTTGTTTGTAGTGTGATTCTAAAATAAACATGTTTCAATGTTTCAAACACTTGACAATGTGGTTTAAAAAAATAATTTGTATACTTAATGTAAAATATCTCTTTTCTGTCACAAGTTTAAAAGACAGTAAAATTATCTTGATTTTTATTAATTAGTAATTATTTTCTGTTAAAAAATTAAGTAAACACTTCACTTATAAATTTAAATTGTACAAAATTAAAAGTGAAACTTGACAGCCCTAGGAGGGGGTTGAAATGTCTGAGACGCGATCTAATTTGTGGAGCCGACGCCGGATTGACCTCATCTAGACGATCGCCTACTCCATTACATTCTCTACTTCCAACCTAATTAGATCTACAGCTCTTAACTTATGTCTTAGAAGTGAAGGGTCTAGGAAACTGGACGTTTTTATTACTTAAATGCTCCTTTTTCCGAGTTAATTCTATGGGGTGTTTAACTTCTACTAGATAACGTAATTTCTTTAGATATAATTCAGTAAGTTCCCTCTTAATTTAAATGATGTTCTTAGGACCTCATAAGTTTTAATGTAGATTTTTAACACGGAAATTTGTATATTATTTTCCTTTTTTTAACTATAATACCATTTTATAAGTATAGAAAGCATTGGAACTGTCACATCTATTTATATATAAATTAATTGCTGTTCGTTTGTCTTTCTAAAACTCGAGAATGGCTGGATCGATTTGGCAAATCGGTCTGAAAACTGTTCCTGGCTGGGAAATATTTGTTGTCTTTATTTTTAGGAAGAAAAAATTGTTTCATGGCACCTATAAATATATGACAATATTTATAGTTGCCTTCAGAAATTTGATTCAATTCATAGCTGTAATAAAAGGATCGATCACTTTGGTATGATTTAAGAATGTTGTATTAAGTTACACAAATATATGTAATACGAAGTTAACCGGGTCTTGTATGTTTAAGAATTAAATAGTTATTACCTTTAACTTTATCTAAAATCAAAGAATGTTATGTTATGTTGATGTTACAAAGGTTTGCCTCTAATTAGAGATATGAAATGTTGTCTAAATTGAATTCGAATCGTCTCACGGAGTAATGCAAATAATTGTCTTTGGTTTACAAATACAAATTAAAATAAACGTGACGTCACATGCGTTTCTGCTGAAGAAGGTTTGGAAAACCTCTTCTTTCGGTTTTTTAAAGGCTTATTATACAATGTTATGATGTATTTATTGTATTATTAGATTGATAGCCATTAAATTTCTAGTCTTATTGAGTATTTAAAAGGTAGATTTTGAAAGGTTCAAAGGTCAAATTCAAGACAAATACACTAAGAAACCAAAACTACAAAAAATACACGCAGTATTCTCTTTATAATAAGTAGTACGAAGCTTTAAGCTCTCTTGTAAAAAATCATTTTACAATTCAAGAAATTCTCTTTTAATACTTGGAAAGTTCAAATAGTCCCTAGCTATTGAAGCTTGCACTCAATCCTTATGAAGGAAGTTTATTACCTCGAACTGGGTAGCCTCTGAAGTGTCAACATTAAATGTTCCTTAGAAATAAAGCCATTTAGAGACGTCCATTTCAATTCAATCTCGCTTAAATGTTAGGAAAGTAACATTAGTTTTACTATAAACAATATTATTTTATATTAAGGATTTTAAAATTTGGGATTTTAAGATAACATACACATACGTGTCCCCGTAAATATGCTTTCTAGAAATCACGTCAGGACAGATATCTTGTACTTAGACAGTATTCTATGGAGTTCTGGTCACTAATTCAGTTTGTTTTTTTTTTAATAAAACAACTAAGTGCATGGCAAATAAAAGAAGGTTTTCGAAATGTGTTGACTCTCATATAAGTATGCATTATAGTGTTTTCTTCATATTAACATTATTTATTAGATTGTACAATTGTTGTAAAATAGGTATGTATCTAGGAATGAAAATTTAAGAGCTCTGTCAGATTTCAGACGTTTTCTTTTACACATTACTTTGTTTTGGCAAAGTTTATTTCGTTGTACATTAAACCAATGGATACTGGCTAGAATAACAAAACTTTTCATGCTTACCTCAGCACTAAAATTTAAGCATTTTAATATGCAGTTCACGATCTGTGCGCTGAGTATTCAGGCTACGAACTGGGTATATGACAAAATATTTAATATCCTAATTATGCTTTCTGGTTAGGATTAATTTTAAGACCAATAACCGTAACGTATATTATATAACGTTATTTAGTACTTTCGTATTAACTATTTTAAAAGAGATTCCTTTCAATTTCGTAAATACTCTTTTTATCGTTTTCCTCCCATACTTGAACTTTGTCATAATCTACTACGCGATTGAGCTGTTTGTATGTATAATATAGACAGATCTGTGCGCACGTATTTTTACCACGTGAATCCCGAATCAATCAAGACATGCAACAAAATTAGACATGCGTAATGATAACTACCCAACATACATTAGATGTATAAAACCTAGTGTTTAATTTGAAATGTATTTTTTTGTTTACTCCAACGCCCAAGTTTGGATGTCTCGTCCTATCGTCGCCTCGATTCCACTTCAGACAAACGGAACTTCAAACAAACAGTATCATTTCCCTACTAAAAGAACGTACAAATATAAAAACAGCTAATGTGTTATTTACGCTATCTCGACTAAAATAAAAATATTTTAGGAATCTATAAACGAAATCATACATGAAAAAAGCCTTTAATACTGTTTAACTTACATGCTAAATATAAAGTAAATGTGCCTTAAAAGTAATTTAATATTTCCACCCTATATATACTTATTATCTATCGGCAAACGGTTATTGGTTTATTTGCAGATTGTACTTCGTCAACGGCTTCTTCTAATTTTTTCCAAACTTAGCGTTCTGTAGCGGTTCCAATCATACATTAAATTCGATTTATTGTGACGAAGCTGCACATAATTTTTTTTTTAAAACGAACTAGCTTAAGACTCCGTATCACCTGGGTTCTATTACCAAATACTTTTAGTGTGTCCTACGGTGTTGAATGTTAAATCTTTGTTAAACATCTTTCAACGATAGTAAATTAATTGTATATGATATAACAATAGCAACCAGACTTTAAAAAGCTTCAACTAATACTCCGTTATGACGTTATTAATTGCTATAAACTAGATACTTAAATAATTAACGCCACTTACGAGCGTACACTAATTAAAAGCGAAATAATTTATATAAACTGGCTTATCCGAAAAGCAATTGTAAAATGCAACGATGCATGTATGTATAGTTACATAGGAAAGTATATTCATTAAAGTGATTAGCACAATTAGATATAATTGGCTTAATAGTAGTGCACACTTCCGCATAATGAAAATATTTCTATATGTGCTAAAAGCTATTGGCTATTTAATATAAAAATGCGAAACTTGTCTGCTCATTACGTAAAAAGTTATTGAAATTACATTTTGTTTTTAGTTCTCATAATTATTTCTTAATTGAGTAAGTTTGTTTATTTTATTTATATTTATTATATTTGATTTAAATACGCCACAGATAACAGTATCTGCACTGTAAATTTTTTTGAATTACGAAAAGAAACAAAAAATTGTTGTTTGTAAGTGACGAAGCAATTTTGTCCATAGCAACTTTACGTTCTCCAAAAAGTACATTAGTGTAGTACGGATACCATAATTTCATTACATAGAGCCACACACACTAACACAATTTAAGCGGATTGTCGGCTTATCGTCTTACTCAACATTTTTTACAGAAGCAAAAAAATAGCCACAAGAACGATTTAGATACTTGGAAAAAATTGTCAACAAAGATTTGATCCCTTGGCTTTCGGGTCGGCTGTTTGGAATTCCGTGACTCAAATAATTAAGTGAGGGTGCCCATACATTGTTGTATAAAGAAATAATAGTTAATACTGAAGGGAAACGGGATATGAAGTGGAAATAATAATTGAAGGTATAACAAAACATAAAAAGTTCAGGAAAATCTTAATCTACCCGAAAAAACATTTTAAATGAAATCGTAGTTTTTAATTTTTATTTTAGATTTTAACAATAGAAACAGGCAATTAGTGTAACTTAAACAAAAGCCTTAAAGCTTTAAGAATTATCCTTCAACCCTATACTAAAGATTAATCCTACTCAGGTAAAAGCATCGTTTTAAAAAATACCCTAATACTCAAATTACATTTAGAGTTGCTTTTAGTTTTCTCCCAGATCTGGACAGTCGAAGTCGCGGTCAATAAATAAATAGATTCGATTTTAGATTTTTAGGTCGCGTGTGTTTTAGTGTTAGTTAGTTAGTCTGTGCTAAATATTTAATGATTACAAAATCATATGACAAAAATAAATTTCGATTAAACTTACAAGCACGATTATGTACCACTTAAAATCGATTTCATCCATTGCAAGACACACTAATTTATATATACGTCGGTGAGATTTTATCTGTAATGCATTTAAAATCCCCCGGCATGAATTGCAATTTACGTTTACAAACGAGTAGCCCCGTATAACGGTTTGCGAAAGTCGCTAGACGTAGATGCCAATCTCACAGTCATATGTCAACGTCAGTGATGCAACCAGCCTTAGGTATCTGCAAAAGTAGAAAAAGCGAATTGCCGTTTGACAATCTGTTTGAGGCCTACGAATTTTGAAAAATTTGCCGAGAGCCTTAAGATAAAAATATTTTCTGTGAGCACGCCTCACTATGTGAGGGCTGACATAAGCTTACTATTAGTCACGTGACGATTTCCATACTAATGCGATTAGTAGTTGTAGTTGAGTCGCAAATTAATTTTGACGCGGCTACACTTCATAGCTTCAAAACCTTGCTGTATATTTCTTTGTATTGTTATATTTACTACAATTATTATTCAATTTTCAGAGTACCGTCGGCTGTCGTTCAGCGAGCAGCGTAGGCGTGGGCGCGGTGACGGTCGCTAGCGCAAGCGCGGGCGCGTGCGCAGGGCGCATGGCGAGCGCGGGCGCGCAATTCCGCGGCGGCGCGCAGCAGTGGGCCGCGGCCTACGCGCCGCCCTGCCGCTACCCGCCACCGCAGCAGTCTTACGCGGCGGCTCCTAGTCCTTACACCCCCCACCAGGTAAATAGTCATCCTTGTTGCTCTCTATTAGTATTAAAAATAAGTTATCAATACCATATCGACGTGATTTGCTTTGAAAAATAACTGCACAACCAGGGGCCGAACTCCAGGCTGAAAGCAGAACAACTAAACTGCTTTCTGAAAATATAAAAAAGTCAAAAAGAGGAGATACGCTGCCTTATGCAAATTACTCTAAAATTATTAAGTGCTAAGATTGAAATCACTCCATCAATATAACCCTACGAGCTTATGAATATAACAAACAATATTATCTGTGATTAATGATATCTTGAAGCACTTTACCCGCGCCATGATCTGCTAAAACTAGTTAATGCGAGTTTCTAATTAAGTACGATCCCTATTAACCGCTTAGTTTCATCTGCTTTATCTTCATTATCCTCTGTAATTTACTAATTTTTCATTGCGTTCGCGAGAAAATGCTTTTAAAAGAATGTTTTAAGGTATTTTTAATTAACAAAGCGGATCCTTAACGGAGCAAATCCATAGAAATCATCTATATTTTTATAATGTTTTTGTGGGATCTTGCTGGTTTCACATCAAATATAAACGTATAAATTTTAATATAGTAAGGTATTCATAATTCGAATGTTTCATGATGATTTTAATATTATTTGGGTAAATTTTATTCTAAATTGTTATTCGGATGCCATGGAATAGGGTGTCCGTAAACTATAAGGTGACAGGAACCAGATGCCAAACTACCCCTAAGTATTAAGTAAATAATAAATATTCTCTAACACTCGGACTTACTCGGAGTATTCATCTGTGTAATAATTTGAACGTTTTTACTATTCAAAGACAGAAACATCGCGCTTAGCGTAATAAATAAAGCTTTTGTCCTATTCATTGTAATAATTTCCTTTCATATAAAAAAGTAACAAAAATCGAGGAAGAGGTTAAGAAAAAACAGTGCGAGAATCTTGTAAAAGAATTTCTTGTTATCACTTTTGAAATAAAACGGAGCGTACGTGCTTTATTACCGTCTCGACTGTTTTATCTATTCGACTGAAATCTTTATGCCTACCTGGTTGGTTCAGGCTTTTGTTCATAATTTAACGCGAATATTTGCTGCGTACTAGGCTTAGAAGAATGCTTTCAAAATATTAATCCGCTAACAGTTGTGTTTTTAACACACATTTCGTTATATCCATTTAGGTTTTTAATGCGTTGCGGGTTCAAAATAAAAATAGAAGTACTAAAAATTTCTCAGCCAAAAGGCATTTTAATTGCGAAAGCGTAATTTTTTTACTTAAGAAGGGATTAAAAATATCATATTTGCCGGAATGTGTATTAGTATTAAGCAGGGATTACTTTAATAATGGAGTTTATTTAATCAAAATATGCCTAAAGAGATCTCTTAATATGTTAGCTCAATTATATCAAAACTCCAAGTTATTATCCGGAAATCTGTTGATTATATACGTAATAAGTTTGATTATTATTCGCTTAAGTTAGGTAACTTAATAACTTATGTAAAATCGTAATAAAACAGTTGTAACATTCCCGAATGATCCTTCGCAGTCGTAAAATAGCTATTAATTCGACTTGTTTATTTTGTTTAGTTTTTGTTACTGCGCCTGCGCTTAGCAGCCGTTGGGATGTATAAACAATGCTTATGCTTTGTACTTAAACACTTCTGCATTTATACAGCGAGCTTTACAAACTACAATGTTAACACAAGACGTTTCCATATTTGCATGAAAATCTCACTAAACTCACGCGCATAACTATTAACAAATATTTGAAACCGACGTAGCTTATATGTTGCTATAGACTAAATTTGAATAGTTTCCCATTATTAATTTCCATGTTTGTGACTACCTAGTGTAGTCCAATCCAACGAATTTAAATAATCGCTTTAAAATTATTATATAATTAATGTGAAATGAAGAACATGCAAAATACGTAATATTTTTATGAATTTGTTTATTAATAATGGCGAAGTGCTTTCGTCGATATGGTCTTAATATTATTAATGAATTTGCGGGGACTTTTCACGAATTGATGGGACTTGGTTTGTTTCTAACTAGAAAAAAAAGGTTTCATTACTTATTTCGTACTAAAAAAGACAATATTTTACTGTCTGCCCCTCTTTGACGATAAATGGCCAGTTCGATCGAGAATAACTTTACATCAGCTGTTAAGTATCTGTGTACTATTGATTAATGGTTAGTATATGTCAACTGTCAGAGCTATCACAACGCCACAGCTTGTTAAATCAGTCACGCCTTCCGTCCAGGGTTGCGTCATTTTTATACTCTCCTAGCCTTTTTATTTATGACTGTGACCATTTTACCTCAGAGTCAAGAGTTTTTAAACTTGTATTTAAATGAATATCCATTTGTATTTTGCACCAACAAATAAATAAAGTAATGAATGAACGTAAAATCGTTCCAAGTCAATTTAATTTGTAGATACATTACATACATTTTGACCTTCAAATTGTTTTAAAATCATGTTAAATTATTATTACCCTTTTTTTTCTAAATCAAGGAATGCTTCATCGAAAAGGTTTCGACAACCCTACGTTTCCATAATAGAGGTTACTTTTTGTAGAAAGGAAGTTTTTATCACAGGAGCACCCATAAGTGCTTAATTCACTCGCGTGTGTCCAAAAGCGGTTTTTGGGTCTAAATATAATTTTGATGCTGACGGATTACTAAAGATATTTTTAAAACCCGTTTTACCATATGGGTTTAATAAAAGATTGATTTATGATCGTAAAGGCATTAGAAACACAATTTTAAACACCGTCTATTGTACCAATATTTATGAATTTTTGTACCGTTATTACTCTCCCTTGCTAGTTAAATTACAACAAACACTATATAGGTTACAAAACAAAACAAAAATCACCATACCTACAACAAAAAATGACTGTTAAAATTGTGTACTTTAGTACTGTAGACCGCAAAATAACACATCTTTGCTGTTTTTTTAAAGAATATTTAGTATTTTTGAAAGACATCCTTAAAATTGTCGTAAATATCCGTGAACTTTATACAGAAACGTGGTGAAACATTATTCAACTAATTGAGGATACCAGTAGATAACAAATATATACTACGCGTGGAAAAGATAGATCACCCTGCCATTTCATAAAAATAATCCCTCAAACAGCTGTCGAGGTGTCCTATGTCCCATGAGATTCGGGACCACACTCAATATATAATCAACAAATTCTATTCGACTATGACGCTATTGAAACGTATACGTCTCTATTCCTTTTCTTCCAGCGGTTAAATAAGAAATGACCTAAGATTATGCAACCACTTAACTCATATGTTTCATACACGGAAATGTGTATAACCTCTCAAACGTTTATTGACGTGGGGCACAGTTTATTTTAGTACAATATGGTAGGGCACGCACATGTGACCCTTGTCGGGAAAGTATAAATAAACAGGACTTGCTGATATCTGTCATCCAAGGAATTAGATTTATTTCTGCCAGCGGAAGGTGAAGGACCCTCACCCCTCGGGACAAACTTGGGTAACTTTCCAGATTTAATGTTACATTTGTTTTAAGATTTACAAATCGCAATTCGAATTTCGAACCTGTCTAGACATCACTTGTTTGCGAGTTTGTGTTAGTTACGACCATAAACCTTTTGACGAATAAATGCAGGTAGACCCGAACTTTGGGTGCGGTGTATTGGTTTGGTACACTAAGACATGTAACATGGAAAGCTTAATCATCAATGCAATTAGCCCAAGGTCTTGGATTCAAATACCGACTAACATACGCAGCTTTAGACCACCAGTTCAATGTTATCAATATCTATTTATTTTGTATATGAAATACATATTTATGCGTAATCTTCCAAACATGTTGTATATCCGAGGGTCCGATCGGACCAAAAAAGAATTCTTTTTGTACAGCGGGTATTTTTTGTTAAATTATGGTAATGTGACGCAGGCTGTCGATATTTAAATTTACGGATACTTTTTCGGTAACGTTTGACTCGCCATTTTGCGAGATGCGTTTTCGATTTCGCTTTTTTGTATTCGATATGTAATCTATTCTTATTTGCGTAGTGCATTAGATTCCTTTTCTTACTATCTCTTTCATGCTTTACTGGTGACTAAATGAAGAAGTGTACACTAACGTTGTAACGTTAACGTTGTGCACAGATACTGTATGTAGAACAGTTTTAGAATAATTTTATGTCCTATTCCTTATTTTTGTCGTGTACCTTTTGTTGCCTAATAATAAACTCCAAATAAACCGAAATATCCAAAATTCAAAGCGAGTGCGATCTACAGATACAAAGATCAAGATAAAACAAATGGAGTGTTCAATTTAAGTAGATTGAATGGGATTTGTTTTATTCCGTTGAGCCCTTCAATAGTATTCGAAGTTTGGTAACGACGCGTTAAATTATCGAAAGGGTTTCCGTTTCTGTATATATATCAAGTAAATAACATATGTTAAAAACCATTTTTGTTAAATAATATCAAGAATATTAAACCAATTTTAATATCCAAAATCTTACTACAAGACGTTGATATACAGAACGCTTTTGACAATTTTTTTGGATATGAATATATCGTCATGATCGTAGAATAATGTCGGATTTGAAAAAAATCCAAAATCCACTTTTTATCATATTTGGATACTACATTGACTAAATATTACGGCTACATTACAACTACACATTAATCAGTCGGTAAAGTGACGGATATGATAGAAGCATGTGATTTTTCTAGAAAACTAATTTAATGTTATAATTTTTATTTTGTTTCAAAACAAACCCTTTTTTAGCTTGTATGCTATAATAATAGAATATGAATTAAAATAGTTATGACAAAAACTAACATGATTATATTATTTTGAAATGGCTGCCCTGTAAAGTTTACGATTTGTTAGATCCGTCACTATTCTACGACTATGACGATATGTAAAAGTAAATTGAGGAAAAGCCCCTCAATCCATCATATTTTACGGTGATATTAAATCGTTGATATGTATTTTAATCA